ATTTGCAGAGACCTTCCTTCGTCTTTGCTTCTGAGGAGCAGAAATTCTTTCAGGCCTTTCCTCTTCACAAGCTGGGAATTTAGCTGCTGGGATCTTGTCCTGAGGGGCACCCTTCCCTGATTCCACTGCAGAGCAGGCCTCTCTCACCTTAATCTCCTTGTCTCATTCAGCACAAACCTTGGCTGTGGTCTTCTCCCCAAACTGCACATCTATCTCCTTCCTGCCCCTTAGCTCTTCATCATAGACCTGAACAAGAGTGATTGCCAATAGTCATGTGTGGAACCAATACTAGGCTGGCTCGAAATCCCTGCCATCAAAGGAGTTAATTCATTACATCTCAATTTAGTTTCAGGCAAGTTCTTAGGATAAAGATATAAAGCAGTCACTTTTTTTTTTCCAGAATATCACCAGAATGGTCACTGGTTTAATTGCCAATACTGTTTCCCTCTGAAGCCTCTTGAGCTGGGCCTCCACAGACCACACATCCCTCAGCACTGCTGTCTTCCAAGCCCTTGCTAGGATAGTTCATTAAGATCTCCTTGCAGCATTCAAATTCCCAAAGTCTTCTACAGTGCTCAAAACATCAAAACAAAATAGAATTGCCCTTCATAGCAATAGCCCACTCCCTGGTACCCTGTCTGTCTTCCTTTTTAATCACTGTGATAAAACAGCACACCCAAGGGAACCTAGAAAAGAAAGCCAGGGCATGGAGACAGGAAGAGCCAAGAGCACAAGCAGAAGGCAGAGACAGTGGGAATGGTGTGAGGGTTTTAAAACCTCAGAGCCCACCCCTAAAAAAGGCTGACACCCTAATGCTTCTCACACAGACACCAACTGAGGAACAAATATCTAAGTTTATGGGGACCATTCTTATTCAAAACACGGTAGAATCCCAACACTGAAAAGGGAGACTCCAGCCTGGCGGTGGTGGCGCACACCTTTAATTTCAGCACTCTGGAGGTAGAGGCAGGCAGATCTCTGTGAGTTGAGGCCAGCCTGGTCTGCAAGATCTAGTACCAGGACAGGCTCCAAAGCAACACAGAGAAACCCTGTCTCGCAAAAAAAAAAAAAAAAACCAAAAAAAGAAAAAAAAGTCTGTAGTGACAGCTGTATTAGAGGAATGGGACTTACAGAATAAAGAGACATACATACACAAGAGGGGTTTATTAGAATGGTTTACAAACTGTGGCCCAACTAGTCCAACAATGGAAGGCCCAAGAATTCAGTAATTGTTCAGTCTGAGAGTCTGGAGGTCTCAGCTGATCTTCAGTGTACGCTGGAATCCCAGAGAAGTGAAGGAATGGACTTGCCAAAGAGTGAGGACCAGAGAGCAAGGAGGAAAATCTCCCTTCTTCCTTGTCCTGTATAGAGGCTGCCAGCAGAAGGTGTGGCCCAGACTAAATGTGGGTCTTCCCAACTTGAAAGATCTGGATTAAAAGTGGACCTCTCCATCTCAAATGATTTAATCAAAAATATCCCTCACAGGTATACCCAGATGTTTGGGTTTTAGTTTATTCCAGAGTCCCAGTGGGGAGGGGGTGTCCCAGTGGGGAGGGGGTGTCCCAGTGGGGAGAGGGAATCACAATGGGGAGGGGGAGTCCAGTGGGGAGGGGGTCACAATGGGGAGGGGGAGTCACAGTGGGGAGGGGGAGTCACAGTGGGGAGGGGGTCACAGTGGGGAGGGGGAGTCACAGTGGGGAGGGGGTCACAGTGGGGAGGGGGAGTCACAGTGGGGAGGGGGTCACAGTGGGGAGGGGGAGTCACAGTGGGGAGGGCAAACAAACAAAAATAATAAAGAAATCAGAAGAAACACATACATTATTAAAACACAAACTCAGAAACCCTAATATATAAAGACCAGTAAGGTAAAAAATGCCCAGAGAAATCATTATGAGGCAAAAAAAAAAAAAAAAATCTCTAAAAATACCAATGAGCTCATTTTGTGTTGGCTACCTCCTTCTGGGCGGGGCCTGCCCCTTGTGGTTTGTGTATTCAGTAAGACTCAAAACTATTTTCCTTTGAGTGGTTGACACTTGGGGACAGCCTCTGGGTTAGGGATGGCGCTCACGTCTACTTCCCTCTCAGAGCTAGGATCCCAGCTGGCTTTCCCCGGTATGTGCTGCCAGGCTGAGTTCACACGTCAGCTCTGTTGTATCTAGACCTTGTTTTCATGGTGTCCTCCCTCCCCTCTGGCTCTTACACTCTTTCTGCCTCTTCTTTCACAAGTTTCCTAAGCCCTGAGGATGTGATGGAGACATGTGGTTTAGGACTGAGTTTCCGACCTCTATTCTCTGCACATTGCCCACTGTGGGTCTCTGTACTTGTTCCCATCTTCTGTAGCAGGAAGCGTCTCTGATGATGGCATAACTGAGTGATCTATGGGTACAGAGGGATGTAATTATGAGTTGTTTTGTTACTACATTCTTTTTTTTTTTTTTTGGTTTTTCGAGACAGGGTTTCTCTGTGGCTTTGGAGCCTGTCCTGGAACTAGCTCTGTAGACCAGGCTGGTCTCGAACTCACAGAGATCCACCTGTCTCTGCCTCCCGAGTGCTGGGATTAAAGGCGTGCGCCACCATCGCCTGGCATTACTACATTCTTTTAGCAGAACAGTAGTATTTGGCTTTCTACTAGGCCCATGGCCTATCTAGTCACAAGTTCTAGGTCATCTGAGTAATGACAAGTGTGGGCTTCATCTCTTGGAACTGGTCTTAAATCCAACCATAAAGTAGTTAGTTTATGCCCACAAGTTTTGTGCTATGACTACACCAGCTTATCTCGCAGGCAGAAATCACCAGTGCAGATTGAAGGGTTTGTAGTAGGGCTGGTGTTTACCTTTCTACGCTGTCCACCTGCCTCTGTCTCCTGGATGATAGAATAAAAGGTGTGCACCACGACAACCCAGCTAAGTTTTTATTATCTCATTCTGTTAATTTCTTGTGCATTTAATTTAATTTCAAATTTTGTTTGCAGCTGCACATGTGTCCTGGGGGGGGGGGGGCAGGGAAGGTGTGCTATTTTAGAGCATTTTATTTGAGACAGTGTTTCCAGTTGTGTAGAACTTAGTTTAATTTCAAATTTTTAAAGATTTTTTTTTTTTTTTGAAGACAGGGTTTCTCTGTAGCTTTGGAGCCTGTCCTGGAACTAGCTCTTATAGCCCAGGCTGGCCTTGAACTCACAGAGATCTGCCTACCTCTGCCTCCCGAGTATTGCCTTTAGGTTTTCCAGTTTGGTAGAGTACGGATTTTTTTTTTTTTTTTTTTTTTTTTTTTTTTTTTTTTTTTTTTTTTTTTTTTGGTTTTTCGAGACAGGGTTTCTCTGTGGTTTTGGAGCCTGTCCTGGAACTAGCTCTTGTAGACCAGGCTGGTCTCGAACTCACAAAGATCCGCCTGCCTCTGCCTCCCAAGTGCTGGGATTAAAGGCGTGCGCCACCACCGCCACCGCCCGGCTTGTGACAACAGCCCTGGATGTTCAAGGACCAGGCTGGCTTTGAACGCCACCTACTTTTTTGCCTATCTAGTGCTGGGATTAAAGGTGTGTGCCGCCACTGCCCAACTTCAAACTATTTTTTTCTTTTTTATCTTTTTCATGTGTGCATTCGTGTTTTGCCTGTATGATGTTTGTGTAAAGGTATCAGATCCCCGGAAACTGGCATGACAGGCAGTTATGAGCTGCTATTTAGGTGCTGGGAATTGAACCTGTGTCCTCCGGAAGAGCAGCCAGAGCTCTTAACCGCTGAGCCCTCTCTCCAAGCCCCCAAACTAAAACTACCTTTTTTCCTTTTGAGAGGTTTCTCTGAGCAACAGTCCTGGCCGTCCTGGAACTCTGTAGACCAGGCTGACCTCGAATTCACTGAGATCCACCTGCCTCTGTCTCCTGAGTGCTGGGATTAAAGGCGTGCGCCATCACCGCCCTGTCAAATTACTTAAATATAAACAGCCCAAGACCCACCTGCCTAGGGATGGTATACCACCTGCATAGTGGGCTAGGCTTTCCGGCTTCAGATAGCAATGAAGAAAATGCCTGCAAGGCAATTCTTCCTGTGAGAATCCCTTTTGCCAGATTTGTTTCAAGTGGATAAAAACTAACCAGCAGGGTGGCGCGCACGTGCGTGTGATGTGTGTGCATGAAAGTCAGAGGACAACTTGTGAGAGTCAGTTCTATCCTTCTACCACGTGGTCCTAGGGATTGAACTGAGGTAATCAGGTTTAGCAGCGAGGACCTTTATCCTCTGAGTATCTCGAGGCCAAAAAGATCCTTCGTAACACGTGCTAGTCTGGAACTACCTATGCACCAGAGGATGACCTCCAATTCAAATTCCTCAGAACTCCTGCCGCAGTCTCCCAAATGCTAGAGTTGGGGCTTATGTCAGCACGAACTCACTAGGACCTCTTGGCCCAAAGGTTTGAGACCAATTGGATACAGAGTGAGGGCGTGTTCTGCTCACCACCTAAAAAGCACCCCCAACTTAAGGAGATCAAAATCCTTCTAAAGCGATGATGTAAGGTATAAACAGAAAGCAGAGCTGGCGTTGAGTCTGCGGAGGCCATGCTCATGGAACAAGCGTCGCCAGAAGCTAACATCGGAGTACCGCCAGCACCTGGCCGGTCGCCACAGAGCTTTGATGGACACCTCCTGATCAGGATCCAACCCAGGACCCACCACTGACGGGTTTCGCCTACATCAGCCTGATCAATAGGCGACACGAGACTTGCACTGGAGTAGGGAGGACGGCAGGCGGTCCCACAGAGGACCCGCAAACCTCCCCGTTTAGTCATCTTAATTTTTGCCTGAAAAATTGCTTCATCATTTCAGGCCTGTCATTTCCCCATCCCCAACTCCAGTGGTTAATAACAGATACGGAGAAGTTTCACAAAATTCTAGTCAGCGTTAGTGTGCTTTCTAACAGATTAGGCATTCGTCCGGGCAGCTCCCCTCTTTGGGACCCTTCACACAGCATTCCGCGGGTTTGGGGCCGAACATAGGCTCCAGCCAATGAGCTTTGCCGAAATGAGAGGTGGGCGGGACCAATGCTTAAAGGACCCGCATCTTGTGAGTAGCGTAGAACGTGATACGGATGATGGCGGCCGGCGCGGCCATAGCCCTGGCCCTGTGGCTACTCCTGCCAGCAGTAGGAGTGGGAGAGGCGGGGCCGCCGCCCATTCAGGACGGCGAGTTTACATTTCTGCTTCCCGCAGGGAGGAAGCAATGCTTTTACCAGTCCGCGCCGGCCAATGCTAGTTTAGAGACCGAGTACCAGGTGAGAAGGTTCGGGGCTCGGGACGCTGCGTAGGACGAGGGGGTGTGGCCAGCAGGAGGGGCGTGGAGTGGGCGTGGCAGGGATGCCTATGGTCTCCTGGGCTAGGGGAGTTGCGAGCTGGAAGCTCTTTGGGTAGGGTTCAGGGGAATTCCCTGGTGGCTAGAGGGTCGGCGACCACTATATATTTGCAGCCAGGTAGACACCCACCTTGGACTGCTAAAGGGGGTGGTGGGGTGGCCTGATGAAAGACCTCGCGTGGAACGTTTTAGGGACCAGGAAGGAACTTTGCAGGTGCGGATGTTGGTGCTCAGATAGGCCCTTAGGGCAGCGAGATGGCTCAATGGGTAAAAGAACTCGCAGCTAAACTAAACCCGATGTCCCGAGTTTCCTAACTATGGTGGAGGTTGAGAACTGACTCCTGCATGCTGCCCTATGATCCCCACAGGCTACCCTCCTACCCCAAACATACATGGTTTGTTTTGAAGATAGGCTCCTAGTGGTTGTATGGGTATTTTCCAGTTCGGTTCAACCCAGTCCTTCTGTGGAAGATAGGCTGGGCTCAAACCTGCCCATTCCCCAACTCTTACCTGCTCTTCAGGTGATTGGAGGTGCGGGGCTGGATGTGGACTTCACCTTGGAGAGCCCTCAGGGTGTGCTGTTGGTCAGTGAGTCTCGAAAGGCTGATGGGGTGCACACGTGAGTGAAGTCTTGCCCTGTCTTGGTTCAGTTACAGCCCTGCAGCTCCCCAGTGGCCTCGGGTTACCATCCTACTGGCTCCACAGACCAGCTGGCTGGTCACTCCAGGGTCACGTCTGTGTCTCATCTGTCTGCCCAGGGTGGAGCCTACTGAGGCTGGGGACTACAGGCTATGCTTTGACAATTCCTTCAGTACCATCTCAGAGAAGCTAGTGTTCTTCGAGCTCATCTTTGACAGTTTGCAGGATGAGGAAGAGGTGGAAGGTTGGGCTGAGGCTGTGGAGCCAGAGGAGATGCTTGATGTCAAAATGGAAGACATCAAGGTGAGTTGAGTGTGGTGGTGCATGCTTGTAATCCCAGCACTCAGGAGGTTGAGGCAGCATTCCAGTGAGTTCAAGACCAACCTGGGCTATAGCAAGAACCCATCTCACAAAACCAAAAGGGCTAGGGACAGTTCAGTTGGTAGAGTGATACCCTAAGACGCATGAAGTTCCTACACCCAGCCCTCCATAAAACCAGTATGGGTTACACTTGGATACAAGAGGATCACAAATTCAAGGCCACCCTTGACTTGCATATAAAGGCCAGCCTTTGACACAAAAGATCCTATTTTAAAGGCTGGTGAAATGGTTTAGCAGGCAGGCAAAGGCAACTGCCACCAAGCCTAACTACCTGCTGAGACCTACACAGTGGCAGGAGAGAACTGATCCCTGCAAGCTGTCCTCTTACCTCCACATGAACGCACAGTATGTGCACCCTCTGACCAGTAAGAAAAAAAGGCCTTACCTAAAAACAAACAAGAAAACATCATGGGGAAAAATGAAAAAAACAAAAAATACTGGGTTTCTAGGAGAAGATGTGAGACATAAGACCAGAGAGGCAAATTAACTTGCTGACAGTCACACAGGCAGTGAACGGCACGGCACGAGTGAGGATTTGGCTTAGGCAGCCTGACCCTGTCTTTGTGACTTGGCAGGAATCCATAGAGACGATGAGGACCCGGCTGGAACGGAGCATCCAGATGCTGACTCTGCTACGAGCCTTTGAGGCACGTGATCGGAACCTTCAGGAAGACAACCTGGAGCGGGTCAACTTCTGGTCAGCTGCCAATGTGGCTGTGCTGCTGTTGGTGGCTGTCCTGCAGGTCTGCACACTCAAGCGCTTCTTCCACGACAAGCGTCCTGTACCCACGTAGCCCCGGCCACGGAGGATGAGTCAAACAGTGGAGGCCTCCCCAGACTCAGAGAGGACCCCGTGTATCCATCCCTTCCTGGTGAGCAGGGAGTGCAAGTGGATTGCAGACCCTTTGGATGGGGAGGCTCAGCACCAGTGCCTGTTCGTCGGAAGCTGAAGTGTTAGGCGCAGCGGTGTGGGGCTATATGGCTCACAGATGCCCTGGCTTCTCCTGATATCGTGCCTTAGCTTAAGTCTTCCAGCCATCAGGATGGGTCAAGCTGTGCAGCTGCCCCTGGCCCTTACCCCAGCTGGACACACCCCACCCGTAATGTCTCTGCTCGCTCCTGGGGAGAAGCCTACTTTGCTAGGGTCTGGGAAGGAGACACACCTGCAGAGTTCTTGCCAGGACAGTCACTTTTATTTGATAGGAAAGAGCCCTGGCTCCTCGGCCCAGTGGGAGCCAGCTGGTTGGGGGGACTGATGACAGAACTCCAAGAGGAACCCTTCCTTCTCTCTGGGTGCAGCCCACCAGAGTCTACCTACAAGCCTCAAGGAACAAAGGGCATCTGTCCTGGGCACTGGGGTCAATAAATTATGGTCAGAAAAATTAATAGTGCCTGGTGACTTGGGCTCAGGGACAGCAGCTTGGGACAGACCTAGCCTCAAGCCAGGCAGTCAGGAAGGCGGGAGGGCACTCCCATGAAGCTCAGAAGAAAGGCCGGGCAGGAGCCGATGGAGGTGGTCGCCTGGCACGAAAGAAAAAGATCATAAAGCAAAGTTGAACCATGTCCCCTATAGAGCTAATGGGGGACCTGGAAGTGGGCCTGGCCACAGTGCCGTTCGGGGTAGTGGCTAGAATTTCTGTTTCCTATGAGCACCGAGAGAGGGGGTCCTATTCCCGGAGTGGTAGAGAGGTGTTCAGAAGAAATGACAGGAGACACATGTAAGTGAGGGAAGTGTGGACAGTCTCCCCCTGGCCTGGGACAGACACAAAAGGCCCACACACAGAGCCACCAGCAGGGCTTCCCTTTATTTTAGTTTATTAATAGGATATACAGAGGCAGGCACTTAACAGTGGTCAAACCAAGCAGTGGGGACAGGATCTGTACAGAGGCACCAGGCCCACCCTGTGGGGATGGGCCAGCTGGGAGCCAGAAGGCCCCTGATGTTTCCCCAGTTCACACAGCCCAAACCACACCGGGGCTGAGGAGAGTGAGGCAGGCCAGAGCTGAGGTGCTCCAGGCCTGAGGAAGGCACAAAGGCACCTCTGGCTATCGAGACTGGGCTGGGCTCAGGTTGTGTGGTTAATATGGCCAAAGAAGATATATATATACAACTTGAGCCAGGTAGGTGGCCAGCACTGGGCCTGTTGGGCCTGGCTCACTCCTGAAGAGCCCTTAGGAAAAGTTGGACAGTTGCTGTACCCCAAGAAAGAACAAAGGCTTACAGTCTGTAGAGAAGCCCCTGGTAGAGTTCCCCTACACCAGCCTGGATCTTTCTTTCCAGATGGTCCCAAGGATGCAGTTCCTACTGCCAACCAGACAGTTCTCCTCAACCCAAAGTGCAAAGCCCCCATGTCCTGTTGTCTGGGACCCCACCCACCCCCTCATTGTCATGTCCACCAGGCTAGGGAGGAAAGGGTAGGGGTTGCCCACAGGAACCTGGTCCCACCATGGGAGGGGGGCAGTAGTGGGGCCCAAATCAAAGCTCTCCTGCACTGTGGGTGCACGAGGACCCCCCAGAACACTGCCCCCTGCAGCCTAGTCGAGCAGGGACGGCTCGGCTGGGCGGATAATGGTAGGCCGACTGGGCGCAGCGGGTGCTCTTCTGCTGCAAAGAGAGTAAGACATGGGGAGGTGGAGGGCAGTGAGGCCAGACGCAGGGTGAGGATGAGGACCCCACCCATCCAGCCCACCCCAGGTGCTCCCAAAGTTGGGGCGCCAGGAAGAGTATTACAGGTATTTTCCTGGTATCTCCATGTCACTAGCTGGCTTGGGTAGCACAGGCAAGTTCTGGGCCAAGAGGGGTCTGGGGACTGAACTCTGGTCACAAGGCTTGGTAGCAAGCACTTCTACCAGATGTGTCATCTTGCCCACTTCCCTGCCCTCCTCGGACCTCAGAAATGGAGACCGGAACCTAGCTGACCAGGTATTAGTGATAACCTAGGGTTAGGGGGACATGAAACCTGCTGCTTAGAGGACAGGCTAGGAGCCATGAGGTCAGCTGATCCATTGTCCTATGGCACTGGCTAAGTGGGATTGGCCCCTCTAGGGCTCAGTTTCTCAGCACACAAGCAGCAATGCCTGCACTACTCGATGTCTTGTTCGGGCTACACTGGAAGTCATTAGAATGGAGGCAGTCAGAGTCAACAAAGGAACCCCAGGATGCAGGCTGTGGGCCTTACCTGGGCACTCCTGGAGGGATACCAGGGGGAATCCGTGCTGGCCGAGATGGTATCTGAGGTGGCGCTGAGAAAGGGTCGTTGTTGGCAAATGCGTTCTGTGGTCCAGGCCGGGATGGGATGGGGGGTGCTGAGAAGGAGGCTGCAGGCCCCACAGGCACAGGAATCAGGGGAGGCCCTGGTGTGGGACCCCGCACAGCAGGAGGCCGGCCTGGTGGGTGTACACTGGACACAGGTCGGCGCTGTGGAGTGGGGCTGTGGAGGAGGGAGAGGCTGTAAGCTGGAGGAATCATACTGTGAACACCCCTGTAAGCGAATGCGACGAGGGCAGAGCCCCGGGAGCCACCAGCCTGAGCTACAGCATTCCAGGTTACTAGGGTTGCTGTGTCCAGACTGCTGTACAGCCCAAGACCCTTCCAGAGCCTCTATCTGTGAGGTACCTGTCTGCCCTGTTCCCCACTGGTCCTAGAGACCTCAGTCTTCCCAGGTCTGGGCTCTGGTCCTCTTCCTGAAGGATCCAGTGTCCTGAAGTTTCAGTAGGTCCAATGCACTGACATTCCCTTGACTGGCTGCTTAGATGTCTCTCTGGCCCATGCTTCCCATCTTGAGGCTATGGAATCCTAGGTTCTATGGGCTAGAGGGCTCTGTTTGCCTTAATCTTCCCCTGTGCCCTTCACTATGTCTAGGAGAACGACCTCTGTGGTAGCTGTTTCCCTGGGCTGTGGAGACTTAGGATGTTTTCCTCCAACGATGTGGCTCAGATTGGCCTTTGGAGGCCATGGCTCCCCTAGTGGCTTTAGGCAGGACAGGTTCTCAGGCCTGTGTGTTGTCCCATCCAGCTGTGACCTATCTCCTGATAGGACCGAGGAACAGAAGGGTGGAGCTTGTATGGGCAAAAGGGGGGGACAAACTGCCCTCCAGACCTGTGTCCACTGGTGTTCTGGAGCCACGTGTCATCAACAGGTGGGGGTACAGGCGTGGATACGGTGCTGGTACTGATGTCCCCAATGATGTTGAGTGCTTCCTTGAGTGCATGGTACATGCGCAGCATGTCGTCCCGACGCTGAGCCTGCTCTGCTGACTCTTCCATGAGGCTACTCTGGTCTGCTGATGAGTACAGGTAGGCCAGCAGCTCATGGTGGATGAAGGCCTTTGTCTGAGGACAATGGTGGGAGAGATCAGACCCTTACACTAGCCAAGAGCTCAGAAGCCTAATGTGATTAGAAAAACATCCATCACAGGCTAAGGTTTAGCCATAGAAACTCTGCCTAAAATCAACCCTCCAGTGAGAAGTAGGGGTGTGGCTCAGCTGTAGAGCCCCTGCCTAGATTCCCCTAATGGCGGAGTAGAGGTGCAGCTCAATAATCCAAAGCTTGCCTAACATGCACCATGCTTTGGGTTCAGTTCCCAACATTACAAAAAGCAACTAACCAACAACAAAAAGCCCAACAACAAAAACAAAAAGCCACCTAAACAAACCAACTTGTTCTAACTTTGAAGGACTTATTTTTTTTTAATTTATTTATTAAGTATACAGGCCAGAAGAGGGCACCAGATCTCATTACAGGTAGTTGTGAGCCACCATGTGGTTGCTGGGAATCGAACTCAGGACCTTTGGAAGAGCAGGCAGTGCTCTTAACCACTGAGCCATCTCTCCAGCCCTGAAGGACTTATTTTGAAATATTTTGTTGTTTTCTTTAAAGATTTATTTATTCATGTATTTCACGTATATGAGTGCTGTCTTCATGCACACCAGAGGAAAATCAGATCTCATTATAGATGGCTGTGAGCCACCATGTGGTTGTAGGGAATTGAACTTAGGACCTCTGAAAGAGCAGCCAGTGCTCTTAACTGTCGTCTCTCCAGCTCCTAATTTGTTCTTAAATTAATTTTATTTTATTTTTTTTTGGTTTTTCGAGACAGGGTTTCTCTGTGGTTTTGGAGCCTGTCCTGGAACTAGCTCTTGTAGACCAGGCTGGTCTCGAACTCACAGAGATCCACCTGCCTCTTCCTCCCAAGTGCTGGGATTAAAGGCGTGTGCCACCACTGCCCGGCTTAAATTAATTTTATTTACTCATTTATTTATTAGTCTGGTGTGTATGTGTATATGTGTGCGTCATGGTGTGCATGTCAGAGGACAGCTTTGTGGACTGGAAAGTTCCAGGGCAAGTGCCTTTATCTTCTGAGCCACCTTGCTTGCCTTGGTTTTGGTTTTAGAGACAGGGTCTTAAATAATCAAGGATCCCCTCAAAGTGTCTATGTAGCTGAGGATGAAGGTGAACTTCTGATCCTCCGGCCTCTACACTCCGGTGCCGGGCTGACAGGTGTACTACAAAATGCCTGTTTCTGTGGTGCTGCGGCTGGATGTCCAGCCCACCAAGCCTCAGCTAAGACCTTGGCTAATTTGGAACTTCCCACTTACATTGTTGATCATGAGGTGCATGATGGTCTTTGGCATGAGGTCACGGATGGACTTGTTGATGATGGCCACATAGGAGTCCACCAGGTTCCGGATGGTCTCTACCTGCCGTTCCAGCTGCGGGTCCATGGAGAAGGTGTTCTCTTGTGCTCCATCCTCATTCTCCGCCTGCACGGGACACAGAGAAGGTGAGCACGGCCGAGCAGCCATAGCTAAGAACTACATGCTCTTGGAACTATGTGCCTACCCTGCTGACAGCCAACCCCCTCTCAAGTGGGTTCCTGACAGTGCTGTTAGATCAGTTGGTCTGTGCTGGGGTATACTGAAAGTCAGGCTGGACTCTTCCCAGGGGATGGGGACACACACCAGGATTCTGTAGTGACTTCACCCCAAGGACAGGAGTAAAAAAGACAAGTACCAAGTCCACCTGCCTTTCAGGCCATGGATTCTGCTAGAGAACTTTCTGGACTCTAATGACAAACTATGCTCACTCTGCCTTGCTTGCTCTAGTGGGTGTCAGCTATGTGTTCTGAGTTATGGTTTGACTATGAGATGCTAGGGTTCAGGTATTGGTATTTGGGTTCCAGGGGCTGCTGTAATTTTTAAGACTTATTTTCACTTATGTGTACATCAATGTTGGTACGTGTATATGCCATATGTGTGCAGTGTCCACAGAGGCCAGAAGAGGGTGTCAGATCCCCTGGAACTGGAGTTACAGATAGCTGTAAGCTGTAATGTGGGTGCTGAGAACTGAACGGGTCCTGTCGAAGAGTGGCCAGTCTTTTATCTGC